GAGGAGCAAAGATGATGCACCCAGCGTCTGAGTCTGAGCCCGAGGGGCTGCGGGAGGCAGCTCGGTGAGCAACCTCGTGAAAACTCCCCCAGCCCCACGCTCAGGTGTGTCACATCCCCGCCCCTGACGCCCTCTGCTCTAGGCTGAGACTCAGGTGCTGCCCCAGGGCACAGAATCAGCAGGAGTGGGGGAGGCTGCACAGAAGCCAAGCCAGGTGTGAGAGGTGACTCAGCCTCCCAGGAGCCCTTGGCAGTGGGGCCAGCAGGCGGGCGGTCGGGCACTGCCTCATGAGCTGTGCCGAGGGCCAGACAGCAGGGAGGCCCCGCTGGAACTGGGGAACTCGCAAGGGACAAGCGGAAGTCAAGAGAAAATGCAGAGCGTGTCTTGGGGAACCCTGTGCCGAGGCTCAGGCTCGGCTGCTTCCGTCCAGGGTGTTGGAGGGCTGACCTGGGGGGTGGGTGGGGGTTAGTGGGAGAGCAGTGCCCAGGGCTGAGGGGCCTTTGAAAGTGGAGAAACTGAGGGTTTCGCAGGTAGGCGGTGCTGAATAAATAGGTAGGGAGAGCCAGGCAAACAGCTGCGGGCTGCTAGACCAAGCCACATGCCTGCCTGCCTGCCTGGGAGGGCTGAGGGGTCAGAGCAGCAGCTGCAAGGGGCTGCAGCTTGCAAAGGAGCAGAGTGTGGGGGCGGCAGGGCCAGGTTCAGGGAAACAAAACCCCTTCCTGGCCAGGGGCCTTGTGTTATTTGTTGGTGCGGTGGTCTGCACTGGGGGGGGGGTGGTGGTGGTTGTAGTCCATCGGTCCAATATGGCAGCGGCCGACCCTGTGGGTCCGCGGGCAGGCCAGCTCTGCAGTGGCCAGCCCCAGGAAATGAAAGTCGCCTTTGATTTTAGTTGACTGAAGTTGAGAAGTGAAGAGCCCTGCAGGTCTGGCGGCCACTGTGTTGGGCAGCACTGGCCTAGAATTTGTGTCTCATGCATGGGTGACCCTGCTGGCTCTTTTTTTTTTTTTTTAAAGATTTATTTATTTATTCATATAGAACTGGGGTACAGGCCAGAGATGCGGAGGGTGAGAGGATTCACCAGAGACAGAGCGGGGAGCAGAACAGGCAGATCGACGAAGTACACTGCTGAGGGGAGCAGCCGGCGGGTCAGGAGAGGTCTGCCACACCATGTGGTCACCTCCGGGGCAGGCAGGAATTGAACTCATGCGGAAGTGGCTTCAGCTTCTTAGCGCAGGGCTTTAACCCGCTGCGCCACCAAGGAAGGCCCCCTGCTGGCTTTTTAACAACACTGTGGGTTTATTTGTGTATTTTTATGTTGAGCCCCAAAGTTTGTGTGGGTTCTCAGGGCAGAACCATGAACATGTGGTGCTGGGTACAGCCTTCACACTCAAGCTTACCTGGCCCGGGGAGGCTCCCTGCTCGAAACACCTGGCCAGGCAGGGTGGGACAGACAGCTGGCGGGGTGTCGGGTTAAGGGCCCAGCCTCCTGCCCACGCAGGCCAGTGGGCCCTGGTGACCCTGGAATCTAAATATTTAGTTGCCGGGTTGCTGGTGGTGAAGAGCAATAATCCTCTTCCTGTTGCCAGCGCCAGTGATGCTGATCTCCACCTTCTTTGCCAACAAAGAACATGTTGCTGTGACAACATGTCCTCAGGCCTCGAGGTCATGCCTTTGAGGCAGAGGCTCTTCCTGCCTGGACAGCGGTCTGGGAAGAAGTGCAGGCCACTGGCCCCGAATCCTGGGCTGGCCCCCTCCCTCATCCGCGGGGATCAGGGCTCTGCTCCCCTCTGTGAAGGGCTGTGGTCCCTCACAGCAGGCACCGGGGAGGGCTGAGCCCTGAGCCTGGGAAGGAAGGATGTGGCTCCCTCCTCTGTCACAGCCTGAGAAGTCCTCCACCTCCTAGCGGGTTCTGAGAAGCGGCTGCTTATTCTCCCGCTAAATTTGTGTCTGGTCAAGCAGTTCTCACGTGGCTGCAGTAGGCTGCCTTTCAGAGACATGACCGTGACGCGGCTGAGCCAAAAGGAGGTTCCAGAAGCCTCCACAGGTACCTGGTCGATATCATTGGCGAGACCGGTTGCACGCCCTGGCAGCTTCTGACATCGTCTGGGGTTCGTGCGTCACTTAAGCAGTGACACCCCCTGCCCCCCTCCCCCATGAGCATGATAGGAAGCGTCTCCTAGGAAGCTGCGTGCTGGCAGGGTGGGTCAGGGTTGCCTGAATTCACACTTCAGTGGGGCGCAGCGCTGGCCCTCGACCGTGCGTGTTCTTTCTAGTATTCTCAGGCACTAGCTGAAATGCCTTTGGGGGTGCCACCCGAAAGACCCCCTCAGCACAGGCTGCCTTGTCTTTTGAGGTGACCTCTGCGACCTCAGCGGCCAGCAGTCCTGGAGCGGGTTGGCTGAGGAGGCTGGGCCTCGACGGAGCAGCCCCCAGCCCGGCCAGCTGCCCGTGGCTCGCTGCCCCTGGAGCGGCTGTCTGGGAAGGGGCGCCCGAGCCTGGCCGTGACGGGTGGATGCCCGGCTGGTCGCAGGCTTGGCAGAGTTGTGCCACCCTGAGACGCGGTGGAGGAATGAAGGGGTGACTCAGTGGGTGGCGGCGGCACCCTGGGGACGTCCAGGCCGGAGGGGTTCACGCTCACAGTGGCCGTGACCAGAGAATGAACTTGCCTTACCGCCCCCACCCCCCACAGCGATCTCCAGAAGGAAACTACTGGGGTGAGGGGGGCGGAATTGGACGCTCCCCGGAGGCGGCACAGCTGGGGCTACTCCAGCTCACGCAGCTGCTTTCTCCTGCCCCTTGCAGCGTGACGGCGGATCTTCGTGGCTCCAGAGCCTGACCCCACGCTCATACTCGGGGCTTGGGGGATGGGTCAGCCAGAACCTGCCCGTCTGCTTTGGGAGGTGCCAGCGTTCTCGCTCGCACCCCCTCTGGGAGGAAAGCTCTGGGGCCTCCGTGGCCTGGGACTCTAGCGGCTTGGGGGCACTGCCAGGCTGTGAGGGTGCTGGGACCAGATCTGGGTAAGAGCCCAGCCTCAGAGAGGAACTCTCCAAACCGAGCCGTGACCCCAGGGGGCGAAGACATCCAGGATCCGGTGTGGTCTGTACCACATCCAAGTGGAAGGACGGGCCGGGGGGATTGGTATCAGGAGCTCGCGGCCGGGTGGCTGTCGAGAGTGACGCATCCGGTGACATTTCCTCCCACCCTGCCCTTCCTGTGCAGCCTTCCAGGGTCCCCCCAGAGCACAGCGTGTGCAGAGAGCAAAGCAGAGGTGAGCTCGCAGTGGGAACTTCTGATTTAGTCCTGCCTCCCCATGGAGAAGCTGCATCCTCCAACGCGGTTGTCTGCTCAAGGCCCGCGCCTTGGGGTGTCATCATCGGGAAAACAGTGATGAAGCGAGCAATGTCGTTCCGAGTTCTCGGTCACACTGGGGCGCGATGTCCTCTTTAGCTGTGGTCTGAGCGCTTGACGACAGGCTATGTTTGCAGCACGATAAACACAATCACAGGCGTTGGTCACCAACCCAACTTTGTCCCCCAAGCAAAGCTGGTAGAGAGAAGCACAAGGAGTCAAGCCCTGGGCTCCCCCAGTGTTGCGGATCGCCGCGGAGAGGCGTGGTTGTGCCCGGGAGTCTGCGCGAACCCACATGCCACCGGCTGAGGAAGCCCGACGCTGGCAGGGGGCTGTGTGCCCCGTAGTTCGCCTCATATCTTTTTTTTTTTTTATCTATTCTTGATTTCTGTCTCTAAGTGCAAAAATGGGAGACTGTATCTTCATGCTAACAACGTGCCTCTCTAGCCAAACCACATTTGCTTTTTGGAAGAATCTCACTGTCTTAGCTGACACGGAGCAGGCGTTATATCGAGACCTTGGCTAACGGGAAACGGTCCGGGCAAGGTGTCCTTGATGTTTCTAGTGTCGGGAGATTTCCTCCCAGCCCTTCCGACTCCGAGAGAAGTATTTTATCGTGCGAGTTTATGTTCTTTAATAGAGAGCATAGATCTCTCCCAGGGATACATCTACCTCCATAAACATCAGTCATGGACATTTTTTAAGGTGTCCTTTGAACATTAAATAACCACAGTGTGAACATCTTAGATTAAAGAAGAAATCCCAGCGAGAGCATGATTGATATCAGGTCTCCAGGATCTATCTCGGGGATCCACACCACTGACAGAGCCCATCCTCAAGAGTCTATTTCAGCATAAAATATTAACTAAGAATTCATGAAAGGCATATTAGTCATCTTAAATCAATTCACCATGCTAACAACTGGTGTTGAGTGCAGCTTGCACTATTTGGTGCTTACAGAGGACGAGTAAAATTCTTAGGCAGATACGATCTGAAACACGAAATAGGATCGTCCAGCTCAGTGGTTCAGAGTGCCCTCTCTGGCTCCTGGAATGGGGCCCCCCATTCTCTCAGCCCCTCCCCATCAAGACACACTGCCTATAAAATCATAGGTAACATTTCTTAACCTTTTAAAGCTCTGTATTCTCATTTATAAAATGAGGCAAATATGTAGAGAGACTGATGAGGATTAACTAAACTAACAGGCAGCAAGCACCCAACACAGTACTGGGACATCGTGAATGCTCTGATAATGGGGATGCCTGTTACCAGCATCATCAACATCGTATTGCTGTTCTATCGATTTTATTCTTCTTCTCATTATCCTAAACAAAAAATAGCCAAACCTTTGCTAGCTGTTACATGATGCAGATGTTACTGCATTTTACTTTCTTACGGTAAAAACTAGACTCGGTGATGCAAAGGATTAGGATATAAGAGAAGAAAAGAGCGAGGTCCAGTGAAGATGAAAAGGATGGGGTGGGGGTGGGGGCGGTACCCAGGGAGGTGAGGTCCTGGCCTGGCTTGAGCGCCCACCTCTTCCTGCCTGGGATGCAGGTACACTCATGTGTAACACACACATGCGCACACACCTGTGCACACACAGGCATACCAGCAGCAAGAGGAGAAAGAGTCCAGGAGGTGCCAAGTACCTGTTTGGAAGATGACCCACTGGAAAACCGGGATCTCTCGTGATTGTTCTCTTGCCCCCAAAATTGATCGCGTTTCTTCTCACTGGAGTCTTTCTTGCATTCCTGTCGTCTCAGGCAAGCCTAGAGAGCGAAAGATGCTTGTGAGTCTGCCGCTGGCTCTGACGGCTTTAAACCGATTTCCTGCGGTGAGGCACGTGACCAGGGCGATGCCGTTCATGTCCCGGTGGCCGTCAGTGCTTGTCACCAAAGACAAAGACGCGCGACTCTTTGTCCAAAGGGCCAAGTCAAAAATATTAGTCAAGGCGTCCATCAGTTTATTCATTGCGATAAATAGACTGCCGTCACAAATGCCCCCAGGGGCATTTTGGCAAGTAGGAGGCCCACGATGGCCTCCTCATGGAAGACAGCACCAAACAGGGCCTGTTCCATCTCCTTCCTGTCTGGTTCTCTTCGCCGCTCCCCCTCACACTCAGCTCCCCTCTGCTCTCTCCCTCGGACTGCGCTCTGGTTATGGTAAGAATTTTCCTTCGAGAGCTTTAGCCCAGGCTGTTCCCTACTTAGAATGCTGTTCCCGACATGTCCTCTCCAGCTGACACCCAGGTGGCACCTCTCTCCTGGAGCTGAACGGATCGCACTGTTAGACGCTGTGCTGGGGTTACGCACTTTCCCCCCAATTATTCATTTGGGTTTTGAGCCTGTTTCCCCTACTGGCCCCTGAGAACACCAAGGGTAAGGACCCCCTCTTATTTCTTGACTCCCCCGACATCCAGTACCCAGTGTCAGTGAATTGCATTTTTGTTTTGGAGGGGAAGATTAAGCTCCCAATCCAAAATAATATATTGTGTATATGACCGACTATATATACACACACACACACGGATATACACACACATATATAAGATATATAAATACACACACACGTATTTAAATGTAAAGAAAGTCTAGACTCAAAATATTTCTCTGCGAGGGCTGGGACTGGACGGTCCCCAAGGATAGCGTGTGTGATGGGTGTTTGCATCGGGACCTTAAATGGTCCAAAATAGTAAAACTTCTTTGGGCATCTCTGTGGCTCCAGTGACTGAATGCCCCTTTCTCCTGCCAGCACCAGTTATCCACTGCTACGGTACAGAAAGGCAGTGTCGACACCAGCTGCTGCTGAAACAGGCCTGACATCTCCCTCTTCCTGGCTGGGTCGGGAAAGGAGAGTCCTCTGGCATTTCCCGTCTGTTGGGAAATGCATTTCCTTCCTTAAGGTAGGAGGACTGGTCCACACCTCTTGCTGGGGTGAGAGCCTAGTACAGGGTCAAGGCTAGAAATGACCTGTTGCCGACAAAACATTAACCACTTAGAAGTGGAAACAGAGTGGCTTGTGCTGTGCTCCAGGTTGACTCACAGGCTCATCTGCAGGGGTGGGCTGTTACCTGCAGCTTGTGGAATTGTGCATCCCCAGGGGAGAGATGCAGACTTACCACCCCAGGGCCCCCGCATCCAACTTCGCTCAGCAAGGGTCAGCAGGCCAAGATGGCTGGGTTGCACCTGTCCCATAGTAATCTCATTTGAAAAAACCGTGCCGTATAGATGATAAGCCATCATAACCAC